GTGTGGCTTTGTGCCCATGGAGGCCAAAAGAGGGAACTGGATTCCTTGAAGCTGGAGATACAGGCAGTTGTGATCTTGGTACTAGGATTCGAATTCTGATCCTCTAGAAGCTAATGCTTTTAACTGTTGAGCCATCTGTCCACTCCAGCTTTTGATTATTTGTTTGTTTGATTGGTTGGTTAAAGAACTATTATCTTGTTATTTATGTATGTTGGGAGCTTTGGGGGGGGTATTGTGGTTTTTCTTGTTCACGGATTTATTTTTAATTTTGTGTGAGAGGGTTGGCTATATGCACCTGAGTGTAAGTGCCTTCAGAGGCTAGAGCTATCAGATTCCCCTGGAGCTGAAGTGACAGGCAGATAGTTATAAGCTGCCCAATGTCGGTACTGATGCCCACACTGGGGTCCTCTGTAAGAACAGATTGTGCTTGTATATGAACTCAGAGAGACTGAGGAAGCATGCACAGGGCCTGCATGGGTCTGTACCAAATTGGATTCTAGGGCTGAGAAGAGAAGCAGGCACATGCCCCATCCCTAACCGAAAAGCTGTCTCCAATTAATAACCACTTGCAAGTTAAAAATTAGTTTTCTCCACGAGTCTCACTAAGGAAATAAACCATTCTTATGGGTAGACCCCATGCTCAGCCGTAGATGGCCAACACAAAAAGAACATCTTAGGATCTTTGTCTCATAATGTTGTATTAGGGTGCTTTTTCCAAACCTTACAGTGATGGGGGAAGTCCTTCTGTGTATATGTTAACAAAGCATTGTTTGCCAAAAGGGAAGCAAGAAAGGTGGAAGTAGGAGTCCAGGAGGATTCTGGGAAACAGAGGCACAGTCAGTCACGATGTAGTATGCCAGACCCCTTTCTCCAGTAAGAGAAGACATGGAAATACTCAGACTAGCAGTGATGGGTTAATAGTTAAGTCAGAGCTAGCCAATAAGAAATCAAGTAAATGGCCAACAGCTTCATAATTAATATAGTGTCCTGTGTATTATTTGGGGGCTAATGCGGCAATGGGACCCAGGCGCCTAGCGGGAAAAGTGGGGCATGAACTCCCACTTAAGAATCTAACAAAAACTTAAAAAGGGATTTTAGAAACAAAAGAACAGAGAAAAACACGGCTTCTTGGTAGCAACATTTTTCTCAGGTGGGCTCTGTTTTGCTAGAGACAAGCAGAGACTTGCATGGCAAGTGCTGGCAGTAAACTTATGCCCGCCATCTTGGAAAGACAACAGTTAAAACAGAAAACAGACACGTGGCCAGAAGAACATAAAGATTTACAGTAAAGTCAGATGTAGTAAAACCTCTGAAAGGTTTGCAGTGTGTTTAAAAATTTACGTAGGCTTGGGAGAAAAACAAAACATGATAAAGTGGTTAAAAAAAAATAGAGAGAGTGGCTGGGTGTGGTAGCACACGCCTTAATCCCAGCATTCCAGAGGCAGAGGCAGGAGGATTTCCACAGAGAAACCCTGTATCAGAGAAAAAATAAAAAAATAAAAGTAAAAGATACAGTGTAATATAAGCCATGTAAAGATGGAAAATACACAGAGAGTCTAGATACTGTATGCTATTTAGTTTTTTAGTTCAATTGCTAAGGAAGGAACAACTGCTGAAATATAAATGCCACTAAATTAATCCAACTTATATATCTTAAAAATTCTTTGACTTCAAAATTTAAATATAAGGATATGTTACTTTGAAAAAGAAAATTTATTTATGTTTCCACAGAGAAGGGAAAGTTGTGGATTCCTTCCAGGCTTCTGTGGTTTGATGAAGCAAGACCTCCTGAAGTAGTGTCCCGGGCACTTCAGCATCTGAAACAACTGGAACAATATGGCCGTACAGACTACAAAAACAAGGACTTGGCCAAGTTTCTGTGTTTTGTCATGATTCCCATGGTATGGACAGCGCCTCCATGCAGCAGGAAGCAGTTTGGAATGAACAATGCCCAAATTCCCAAATATTGTTTAAATGTTTGTTTTCATCTATACCGGGTTATACATGGTAATGACCACAGTCAATCTCTTTCTAAAGGGAAAAAAGGGAATATGAAATAGTAATGAATACTTTGTATTGGAATGAATTTTCATTTATTGATACAAATTTAAGATAAATTTTGTGATATGTATATTTCTCCTCTTGTTTAGATAGTGTGTTTATACAGCTCTTTTAAAAATGTAATGTATAATTAAATACAGATTATAGATAGTTACCTATAATAGTCAAAACTTATAGTTAGGTTAGTTAGGTTTTCTAGATATACAGAGATATATTTGAGATACATAGATAGTCTTCAAAGCTTTCAAAGACCTTCAGAAAATGACATTTAAAATGGTTTAGGGTTTTTCATGACAATGAGACACAACTGCTCCTGGCAAACTAATTACATCAGAAAGGAAGATGGGCATCAAAGAAACTCATTATGGAGTTTGCCTCAACATGGTGAGATTAGCCATTTGGGCAAGCAACTGCTCTTTCCTGGACTGTTTGACTATTGCTGTATAAACTGGACATGCAGGACCCACAGGAAAGTGACTGCTGAACTTAAAAAAACAAGATGGACAGTCCTACAGGGTTCGTGCTTCATGGAAGAGTCTGCCAGACATTCTTCAGGACATAGAAAAATGACTGACAAACTGCCAGTGCAGATGGACAGTTTAAAATTTCCTGCTTTGCTGAGAAGTTTGCTAGACACTCTGTGGCCTAGGAGCTGAAGATGGATGCCCCAACGTTGCAGAGGAACTTCTGTTGACTGTCCAGGTAACAAGATGTCTCTGTCAATTCTAGTGTTTATATATTATCCTTCTGTGGTCTTTGATAGAGTTGAAGACAGATAGTTATAGTTTTCCTTAGTTATGATCAAAGATAAGCTACATATAAGACTTTAGACTCACAAAGTTAGGATAGATGATATTTTCTTTAAATCTTGCTAAATGTTAATGGATTTGTAGCTCTTGCTTAATAACTACCTTGTTATATATTTTACTATGTTAAAGTTAAAACCTTTCTTTTTATTTAGACAGAAAAGAGGAGATTATGGGGGAAGTCCTTCTGTGTATATGTTAATAAAGCACTGTTGGCCTATAGGGAAAAAAGATAGGTGGGACTAGGAGTCAGGGAGGTTTCTGGGAAACAGAGGCACAGTCAGTCACAATGTAGGATGCGGAAGGAGTAAGAGGTCTGAACACTCCTCCCCCCCGCCCCCTCCCCTCCCCTCCCCTGTAAGAAGCCACGTGGAAATACTCAGATTAGCAGTTATGGCTAATATTTAATTCAGATCTAGCCAATATAAAACCAAGCAAATGGTCAACAGCTTCATAATTAATATAGTGTCCTGTGTGTTATTTAGGGGCTGAGACAGTGGTAGGGTCCAGGCGGCTGGCAGGAAGACTACACATAACATTACAGGTCCTTTGCGTATATATTATGGCTTCTAGTTTTGCACTTTTAGGGACTCCTTGTGTGAGAACATGTTATGTCTCTGCATCTATACATGCTCCTTGTGCTTTTTCTTTGACTCTTCTTCTTTTGGATACTTTGTCCTACTCCAAATTAATTGTTTGGAGTTTATCTTTTTTTATTTTAGTATTAGTGCTTAGATGCCTGTTTGTTTTCTGAGGAGAGACAGAAAAGGTGTGGATCTAGATGGGAGGGGAATTGGGGAGGAACTGGAGGAAGTTGGGGGAGGGGAAACCATAATCAGAATATATTGTATGGAAAAAGATCTGTTTTCAATAAAATTAAGATAAAAAGAACAGTATGTGTTCTTAACTATTAAGCCATCTCTGCTACCATAACACCCATCCACAGTTCTTAACCATAGTCATTCCAAATTCTCCCACACTCGTGGCCTAACAGGAAACCAGTACCTTCCTCTTCACTGACAAGCACTCACAGCATGGTTCCTGAGGGTAAGACACTGTTAGAATCTGGTACAACTACAGGAATACATAACATATCCTGAATGTGAGATGCTGAAAATCCATGTGCTAAGTTGGAGCAGATGTGTGAAATATAACCACGAAGCCATGTGAAGTAGAAAGCAGAAAAGCAACATCACAGAATCCCAGGGCTTGGAAGTAACCAAGTCGTCAACATATCGCTTCCCTGGCCCACTGGCCCTTGTGACATCCCTAGGGATGAGCTGTTTGCCCATCCTATGCTTGCACACTTGCAGTGAAAGAGACCACCTGCCTCAAGAGGCAGCTCACACCAGGGATGGCCATTCACCGATTACTTCTACACAAAGGCAAAGTGCTTCAAAACAGGAAACTGTGTAATGGAAAAGAACAATGAAAATGTTGAGAAATTAGTTATAGAGCTGCCTAACTGCCAAGTTTCCATTGAGGTTTCCTTAATGAGGTATTAAGTGGTGATAGGTAAACTTATGCCATGGTGCTTTCATTCAGGCAAAAGTGACTACTTTTCAGACTACTGACAACTGGATAATTTAAGAGGAAAGAGAGTCCTAGGAAAAATTATATGAAATTTTTGAATTATGAAATAAAAAGCCATGTTGAAAAATAGCTACAACATTTGTTACTGCTGCCATATCTGCAATGACTTTAATGTCAGGAATATGTCCATAAAGAATATAAAAATAGAATTTTCTAAGAGTTATCACCTAATTTCCAATATAGTCTATTTACTGTGGTCCAAAAGTGTTGGGGAAAAAGTTGTGGAAAAAAGTGTTCAGCTGCTGGGGTTCAGGCAAAAATGGCTTTGCTACTTTTGGTTGGTTAACTGATATACAAACCTTGATGAGTTCTGCTATTCACCTGATAACCAAGCATCCCAGGTATGCTGAGTTAACTTTCAGTATGAACTTGGGCTCTTGTATAGCTGGTTGATTAGAGGATCATTTTGTTTGCTATTAATTGATTAAAATGGTAGAACTAATGAATCAATTAAATTAGAGTCCCTTCCGTCCACCAGCACCACCAGCAAAGGGCCAGAGCAGGGAATAGAGAGAGGAGAGGGTACCACTCGGCTCTTACCACTGGGCCCGTTGGGTCTCTCCTTGCTGTATCTCCGTAGGATCGCGGAGGATGGGCTTTCCAACTCACCTGTGTTTTGAGAATGATACCCAAAAATTGAAGTTTTCACCAAAATTCCATTGAGTTCTCTCTAATTTGAGCTACCCTCTGGAAGAACTGTCCAGGGCCATGACCCTTTATGACAGAATTAGGAGAGTGGGGCATGGACATGAGCACCTTCGTGTTCCGCCCCTAGAAGATGCTCAAAGAGCAGGTGCCTTGGAGCAGGCTAACAATTGCTACTCAGTATCTGGGAACACAACAAAAAACTGTACCTGCATCTTCAGATGTTACTGACAATCCAGAACAAGAGCAAAATTACTCTGGGTCCTCTCACATGTCTTTTGTCGATTTTTTTTCACACCTTACCAACACAACTTATGGACTGGCTATGTCCAGTCAATGCTGATTTATACTCTTCTTGAGACACACTGGGCAATGAAATCTATGCCATGTTCTAAAACGTGCCCCAACTTGGTCAGTCCTTTTAGGCATGCATTATTGACAACACAGCCATGCCTAACAGGTTTTCTCTTCGGACCATCCTGCAGAAATTAAATACAGCTTCGGAAGCTGATCTACAATGCACATGTATTGTGCATGGGATGTGTAAATTAGTGTGGAAAAAAAAACAATGAAGTCATGACAAAACCAAAGATAGGAGAAAGAATGGTGTGGAAGGGATGGACAAGACCAGGGTCAGCTTGGGCGAGAGTGCACAGGGAGCAGGGCGTGAATGCACTCGTTCTGTACTTCTGTACTTCAGATACAGAGTACTATTCCCATTTTCCTTTAGAACTTGAGAAAGGGAACCCAAAAAGCATTAAAGAGAACTTCCCATAAACCAGTATTAGGAGCACTGGTTTTAAAAACACAAGACCACCCTTCATCAGTTCCGGAGAAGAAAGGCAAGGGGCACGTTCTTGCACTGAGCAAGAAGACTGCTCATTGACAGGAGCGAAAAGCAAATCCATGCAGGCAGAAAGCCCACAAAAGGAACAGGAGGCACAGAGAGGTCAGGCAAGAACGCCTGTCCTCCCACCTGCCCACACTAACACTTTTCTGAGAGGTGGCCTCCACAAAGTGAAGCTGGGCATTCAGACCTCCAGAAGTACAGATAGGTCATTCCGACACACAGGTTTTAGAAAGAGGCCTGTGTGTCCCAGGTAATAAAAGCAGGTCTGTCACAGTGCACAGAGTCACTTTCATAAGAAAGAGCCAGAGACATTATTGGCCCTTGTTAACAGCTGAATGTTCCAAAGTCTCTCAACGTTTATTCCAAAGTCCTCCCAAAGGATTTCTCAGGAAAACTGACTGGATTCCCAAGTGAGGAATGTATAGAATATTAACTTCTTAAACCTGCCCTTGCTCAGTTTCCTAAGGGATGAGCAGCAGGAAACATAAACCAGATAGGCATCTTTGGGTAGCTATTTAGATAGGAAATTGTGTGAACCCACTTACGTGAGAATCACACACCGGTGTGACAGATAAACGGTTGCAAATTCAGAGATACGACTGGAAAGATTCCATTCCAAGGAAAGTAAAAATTCCCTATTTCGGGGTAAGTAGCATAAGACAGCTCGTTCACACTAATTCTGAAGCCAGCAGCCTACACACAAGCTAAACCCTAAGTGAATGAATGCAAGCCTCGGAGGGTCTTCACATTCCCACACCACCACCTGAACTCTTCATGGGCCAGAAGCAGAATCAGAATCTGCCTGACATGAGCTAAAAGGCATCATACAACGTTTAGAGTATTTTTCACCCGGATTTTTGCGAGGGGCAAAGCACTACTCATTTAATGTAGCCTTCCGGTTACACCTGAACTCTCCCGCTAGAACAAAGCAGAGAACACGTGAAAGTATCTGCAAATGTCCAGTCCTTGTCATTTTGGAACCAACAGCACCCCTGCGTGCTATCTATATGACTGAAGGTTGCTCCCAAAACTCGCCAGTTTCAGCTCCGAGGAAGGGGGTCTGACTTGTCTAATCTATGAACCGAATGCAGTGATTTAGAGAAACTCAAAACTAAACTCTGGCTAGATAGTGCCATGAAACAGAGCTGTAAGAATATCAGCAGAGGACAATCAGAAATGAGCTTCCAGCACGAACCTATTGCTGTACTTTCCCACCTGAATTAAATACACCGTTGAGAACCACAGCTCGTTTTCCTGCTGAGTCCCAGGGGAAAAGCCCGAAGCTAAGGCTACCTCCACATTCTAGGCGAGCACCACGGCTTCCGCGAGGCGCAAGTTGTACTTACAGATTTTGCCCTCATCTCTGGCAAAGGGGAAGCAGCACAGCTGGCCCATGGCCCCGGCTTTCCTGGCGGATGCCCCACTGAGAGGCTGCGGCTAATCCGCGGTCTGCTCGGCAGCCTACTGCAGCTGGGAGCTCCCGAGCGCTGAGAGCCGGCACACAGCACCGCCACCGACAGAAAGAGAAGGGAACTCGCTGCCTTGCAAAAAAGGCTCCTCCTCCTGGCCCTCCAGCTCCAGCGACTGCTCCGGGACGCACTGGCGAGCGAAGTGGCCATATGCTCGCCTAATTTCCCCAAGCATCCGGAGATGAGGGCTACATGTGGAAGCCAGGCTGTCAGCAAGGATCTTTAACAAGGTAAAGGCGAAAACCCGAGTCCTTATTCACGCAAACCAATGCAGCAATTACACATGGAAATTCAAACCAGGGTTTTTAAAAAAGCCATCGTTTCTGTCTGCTATTTAAAGAGGAAGAGCTTTCTTTTATGCCCAACAGACTTTTTGTCTGTCGTCTTGTGCACAGAGAAACCCAGCACAGCAGAATACTGGAAATTCCACTTGTCTCAAGTGCCATTAAATACCTAACAAACTGTATAAACAATGGAGACAGGGTGGGGGAGGCTGGAATCAACTGTTATCTGCACTCAACACACATCTGTGAAGTTCCACATCTGTCTGTGGAAACACTCCCTTATTCTCCTCCTAAAGCATTAGTCAATATGAGGGAATTTGAAATCGTAGCATCAAACGCCTTAGTAGCCTAGGGACTAAGCACACATCTCGATCCACGGCTGAGAAACAGATAGGAGACAAGGGCATCATTCTAAAAGACAGCACAAGGTGACTGCCAAGTTCAAGGTTAGCAAAACTACTAATTTCAAAGGGCATGATATCATTTGAGATTTATGAGAAAGGAATGGACTTCCTGTAGCTGTCTAAGAGCTGTTGTCTCATTCAGGGTGTGGCCACATGTGTTGACACTGCAGGACAGGAATGAAAGACCGTTCTTAGTACCCGGGTCTCCAGGCGGCTTCTACCTTCACTCCTATATGACCTCGCTAGGCACATAGATCACTCTGCGAGGCATTGCAAGGGGAGGGAAACATGATGAAAATCTCCAGTGGATCTGAGCACAGCACAACTAACTTCATAGCCACACAAACCAGGAGAATGCACAGTGTAGAAGAATAAACTCATTAATCTTACAAATTCTAGGAGTAGCAGAAAAAAAAACCTGACCTGCAGTAGAGTACAATTTCAGTAGTATTCTCACAGAGAATTTTAATGGTCCTAGTGACTGAACCTAGAGCCTTAGGTATGCTAGCTTATGTAGTTTATGTACCTATGCTACATCCCTACCCATAAGGGAGACACAGAATCTCTCTATTAGATAGCCAGGCCTTGAACTCACTGCAGCCCAGGCAACTCTTAAACTTGTTAGCCTCCTGCTTCAGCCACTCTAGTAGCTTGGACTGGAGGCATGAACCATTACACTAGGCTAAAATTTTGATACTTAAGGATTTCATAAGCATCTTGACAACACTTTAGAGTGTATCAAGTGATGTAAGCTATTCCGTGACTCCTGGGGTACATTAATACATACTTCAGTTTCTCAAGATGCTAAGTACTGTAAAGATCTTTGTAATAAAAGCAACCATGTGACTAAGTGAAATTCTCACGTCTGCCTACATAGTTAATACTGATATTTGAACATTACATATGCTTAAGTGGATTTCCCTTTTTGGAGTATTTTCAATGGAAATAGAATGTTTATATTTTAATGGAGTTCTCTGTTGATTTTATAATGAACACGGCAATTGTTTAAGTCAAAGTTCACTGTCAGAACCAGTTTGTTACTTCCCAGCTCATCAGCCTATTTAAACTATCCCACCATTTCCTTTCAAATTCACCAATACATGAGGCGCAAACTTTAAACTACAAAATAAGATTTTGTGTGCAATTGTAAAATACTCTTAAAAGTGATAGTATATATGAACCTCTTAAGACTAGTAAGGAAACAATGTGAGTTCTAGGGATATAAACTCATGTCCTCATGTTGAGTAAGTAGTAAGGAAACAATGTGAGTTCTAGGGATATGAATCCATGTTCTCATGTTGAGCAGCAAGCATTTCACCTGTTAGGTCATCTCCCCAGACCTAACATGACCTTTAGAATTACAAAACTGCAAGTCTGAATCCAAGATCTGTCACAACTATGAAAGATTAACCTGTCAGAATCTGAAAATCTTCACTGGTCAATTCATTATCAAGTCCTGCAACCTCATTGCAAAGTAGAGAGTACTTGGGAATAAAGAAGAAGAAAACAGAATGTATCCATACCCACCTAGCCCCAGCTAGTAATCCTGCCTACTCATCTGGCCACTTTTCACCCTACCAGTGTGCCAGGTTGAGCCAAATTTCCAAATATGAGGCCCTTGACTCCCAGTGTCCAGTCGGGACAACCTTCTGATGCATGGTATCAACTCAACCTTTGTAAGTAGCCCAACTGCTGAAGCTTCCAAAAATATGAAATTATGCATAAAGTATAAAATGTATCCATAGCTAAGTATATTCTAAGGAGACCTTTCTGATGTTACGGACTTCTCTACAAACACTCAGAGTAAGCTAATCTAACTGGCTATGGCGGCACAGGCCTAGGATCCAGTACTTCAGAGGCTGAGAGAAGAGGATCTTGAATTTAAACAAACCTAAACAACATAGGTGGACCCCATCCCAAACAAAGAGCTAAACTGATAAAAACAAAGGATGAATCA